GCCACTTTGGCGGTCGTCTGTGCCCAACTCCCGCTGCTGCTGCGGATGGGCCGAATGGCGGGCGGGCGTCGTTCACCCTCCCCGCCGCAGTGTACCGGTGCGATGGCCGATCCGGCCCCGCTCTGATGCGCCACGCGTCAGCGGGGCTGACGTTGCCACCCGCTGACGCCCGCTCTACACTCTAAATGCCATGGACATTTTTGTAACTTGCTCCGTACAAATTTGTAACTGAGCTCTGGACTTCTGTACGCGTAACTTGCCAGTTACAAAATTGTCCAATTTTATGGACAACTGTACGTGTGAAGCCAATGGACAAATTTGTGGTCAGCAATGGACAAAATTGTAACTGATTAGAGCACAATTTGGGACTTTGGATTGCACCCCTAACGTCCATACCCTGGGGACAATTTGTCTGTAACCCTGGTTACTTTTCTTTGCGGAAAATAATTCAGCGGCTTCCGAAAGGAAAATGGCATATATTACTGCGAAAAAGGTCCCCATAATCAAAAACATTTGGGTCCAAAGGAATATGGTGGCCATATATATTCAAGCAGCAGGCTACAATAATAACATTATTTACCATGATTGTGTACATAAATGGAGTTGTTAAAAGATTGATTTTGAACTGTCATGGCCCGTTAAAAACAGTTGGGTGACTGTTCAAGCATACACTGCTAAAAGCAAAGGTTTATACAGTAAGCCTAAACATATTTTGGATAGACACTTATTGTTAACATACCTTGACAAGAGTTAAATAGGCTGATAATTAGGATATTTTCCTTTTTCTGTTGTATCAGGCAGATGATTGTGTATCTCTTCTATTTAAAACTACACAGTTTTGATCACTACTCAACCATACAGAAAAGGGTTAGGGATGGACTTCTTGCCATCTCAAACAATCGGTTATAAACTGTCTTGCTCGGACTACGCCATGATCCCGTCAACTGCATTCTTTTGCCGAGTCACAAATTACTACGGAACGAATGTCAACAATCCAATTTCACTTGGAAGACGATGAAATATTTATAATTATTTTTTGTACAAATAAACAACAACTGACAACTTAAAACAACGACGAACTGCGTTGTTCGCAGACAGCACAGCTGAGTGTCATCTGTGCATCTGCCATTACCTCCTCGACCTCCTCTTTCCCCTCTCCCCTCCACTTCTGCTGGACAGTTGTTTTTGTTGTGCCAAGCATGAGATAGACGTTGAAAAAAGTTCGCCTTTCTTCGTCTAGCTGACTTGCCCGTTGTATTTAGCCTCTTAAAATTGATATGAAAACCACACCTTCTTAGCGTATCTGGTTTCTGCTTGGTTCGTGCAGCTACTTCGTATATTTTTTTTCTCCAGGTGAGAAAATAACCTAACCTACCATTCGGCTACTATTTGGTTTTGTTTATATTTCAATCTTTTATTGCTTTGCCTGCGTTTTTCCTGTGTATTGCGTAGGAAAAGAGATCTATTTCTCTTGAATTTTCACTCAAGTTATATTGTTCCTTGAGTGGTTACAATTTATCATAAATCTAGTGTGCTCAAAGTTTTTTGCTTTCTCTTTCTCTGTGACCAGCTTGTGAGATAGTGTTCGCAACTTGTTTGTCTTGGTCCTGTTGTTCACATTGTGTTGATTATCTGTTGCAGGTATGTATGGGGGCTGCACTTTGTCATCAATAGATATCCTCAGCTCTGCCAATGCCGACAGAAGTTTGTTCACGAGCTTTTTGCAGTTTCAGGACTAGTGAGGCCATGTTGCACTAGGTAAGTTGTTTCCGTATTCTTTGAGAATCTTTCTATATCCTATATAAAGGTTGGGTTTATATTCCGATGAGCTGCACATAACATGTTTAGTGCTGCATGACCACAATCATGCTTTGCTGTTTTTTTTAACCCTCACGATATGCGCAGCTGCACTGAACCTGTTAAGAATCTTCAGTTACCATAACATGCTGTTATCAATTCCAATGTTACAATCATAATATTAGTTTTATGTGTTCACACCTATGTCTAGTTCTACAAACATTCTGTTGTTCAATGTTTGTTTTCTATCATCATTGCAGGTCTGGTCTTCACCTTATGACGTATTTACCTGCTTTCTGGCCTGAAGGAACCCTTTACAAAGAAGCAAAAGGTGGTGGACGTAAGTCTAATGTGTCACAATTTTTGTTCTTGATATCAACTCTTTTCAACAATTTTAAAGTATGCTTTTTTCTTTTGAATGTTTCAGTTTTATCTGATGCCACTTGAAACTATCACTTTAAGCCAGCTGAACCAGAACTGCATCTGTACTGTATAGCTACACTTGCCAATTTCAAATCAATATAATTTGCAATTTTGTACCTGTGTGCTAATTGAACATTACTGAATTCCAAAATGTCATAAGTTAAGTACCACTGTTGCCAAATATTTTTTAAACAGAAGGCTACTTAGTTTTCTTAACTTTCAAAATGAACTGCATGTTTGGATCGATTTAGTTTCCACAATAAAAGACCAATGTAGAGGAGTAACTACTTTCTTCCCTTTTCACTTCCATTTTGAAGAACGGCTTTTGCAGCCACAGCCCTCACAAATATAGTAAATCTTACACAATAAAATTTATGACTTGCAGAAGGAATAGTGGTAAACGATTATTCAATCTAAAGACTTTTATTGTTGTCTTGATTACAGGTAATAAGGTAATACAGGTTATATGACTCAAGTCATTTACAGAATAATAACTAGGTGTCAGATATTTAAATGAAATATTTTAAACTTAAAAACAAAAAATAATTTTAAAATCCCAAAATAAGACTACAGGAGAGCACTTGTTATCTCCTAGTTAAAATCAAAGATGAAAAACAACATGGAATAAAATATAAATGATAGAATATCAAGATTGATAGAAGTTAACTTCAAGAATAACAGAAACAATTGAGGGTCAAATATCTTTTCATTAGAATCAATTACAGTTAGCCTCATTTAAAAAAACAACAACATAATATTGATATGGAAAATATTAGATCTATTTTGATGTTAACAGTCTGTAAGCAGCCACACAAGATGTAGGAGCTTCATCATTGTTTTCAAATACCTTATACAAACATGTTTGTAGAAATCGGAAGAAGAGAGACCATGATGGTGGGTAATGAACATAAAACACAAAGAATGACTTGAAGAGCAAATCCAAGGCTCGTACACTGGGAATAGCTTCCAGATCAATACATTTTGAATCCATTATGAGGAAGAATTTCAGAATCTTCTTAGTTAGTGGACTGACGATACCAATCAAATAAGGTTGAATGGGTTTACCAGCCTCTTCCCTCTTTTGCTGGACGTAAAGTGATATATTCACACTAGGCTGGAATAGAAAATTGTTAATATAATTGTAAATAGTACATTAAAATAGGATTGGTCATTGGGATTCTTACTGCTTTGATGACAATCAGCTCCTCAATTTGTGGAGTTGCAACAGAATTCGATGCCTGAGCTTGTTCATTCCTTCTCTGGTTTCTTTGACGTTGTCCTCTTCTTCCAGTAACGCGAGGTCCTTGCTGTGGAGGATCAATAGGGTGGGGCAGGTAGTACGCCAAAGCTAAGCAGGCAGTTAGCAAGTCTATAACAAGAAAGAGAAGTTATTTAAAAAAAAATTACATGCACCATCATCTTAAGTCTGTAGATTTGATAGAACTTCTTACCATCTTCAAAGGGAGGTGGAACTAGAATCTTATCTCTGCATACTTCTAATATTTTGGGACACAGCTCTAACAGCTCAGCACACATATCCTGTGCATTAGGATGGATTCTGGAAAATTCTTCTGACAACTGGAAAGAAACAAAGATATCAAGAAAACACTTAGTTAATTAAAAGTGCACACTTACCTTCACAAGCAATTGCGATTTGAGACTCACCACATTACCCTTATAATGTTGAAAATGAGGAAATTTTTCCAGAATTGCAGTGATACTTTCACCCTTTCTCCTCATGTCGCATCTGATTGCAAATGTAGCCGCCATGCCGTCCAAAATGGTTGTTGCATTGTTACGGTCAGGATTTAAGCATGCTAACTTTTGAATCTAGAAATATATCAGTAAGTTAAGATCAAGTTAAGATAAAATTCATGAATACCTAAATAATTAAACACTTACATTCACAGAGCAATCAACAGTTCTAATTTTTTTGGTCTTTGACTTTTTCATCTGACTTTTCCTTGATCTCTGGTCCACAGGGAGCTTATCTTGAATGCGTTTCATTATGTTGTTCAAGTTCAAAAGAACAGAAGACTAGGAAGACAGAAGTAGACAGTTATCAATCAACAGGAGACTCATTTACAAGGGGGACAGTTGGTATACAGAATCAGTTATAAAACTTAACATTATAGAGACATGAGACTTACCCAGGGGTCTTTCCCTTCTATCTCAAAGGGTCTCTGGTATTGAGGGTAAGCAACAACAATACTTTTGGCCAGCATTTCTCTGGTTGCCATAGATACCTCAGTGGGGTGCCTAGAAAAATTAAGAGGAGAAAATGATAATTAGAAAGGTCCCAAATAAAACATAACATAAATTAGAGTTCACTTTTAATTAAAAAAAAAAACAACAGAAAATCTAATCTATGAAACCTTACTTTTTGTAAGTCCAGCAGATGTGGTTCATTAAAACTCTGTACACTCTCTTCCTCCATTTATCAACAAGTAACCAGCCATCTTTTAAGTACGGCACGAGCTGTTTGACATCCTTATCTTTCTCAAGAACTTCATTAACATCCAGCTAGGCGAGGGGAAAAGTTTATGAATATACAAAACCAAACTAGAGTCATTAAAAAAGTAAATAAATTTAAACTTACAATGGCTAGGTGAGGTTTTAATTCCTTGAGAGTAGAAGAGTCTTTTAAAAATGAAGTGAGTTGAGTTGACAAGAAGCTTTTATTTTCACCCTCATTTTCTTTGTCACTGCCATCTTCATTTTCACCTGTGTCCTCATCTGACACTCTATTATCTGAATAATTACTTCCACTCTCACTCTCAGTATCATTATCTTGATAAAGCACCTCCTTGCTTGTATGTCCTCTTTTCCTCAACTGTTTTGGTTCGGCATGAGAAGTTGACGCACCTACATTGATGTCACTTGACTGCTCAGGTTGAGATGATTTAGAGGCCAGATTTTCCTTCTTTTTATTCTGCAAACAATTATATGAGATTGAGGTAACACAGTTCTACGAGGAAGCATGTAAAATTTACTAACTATCTATCATACCTTTGACTGCCTTTTTTCTTTAACCATGCGTTCAAATGGGTTGCCCTCGTCACCTGTAGCATAAATTGAATTAAATACACTATGGAGTCAAATTCTGTTGCAAGACACAATCTATTGGATCCTAACTAACCAAATATTTTTCTGTGTCTCTCTAGTTTGTTTACGAAAGCATCTTTTTCATAATCAGTATAGTCATCTAATTCCTTTTGTGAGAAGTACGGTAATAATACCAAATACTTATTTGGGGCTTCCTCAGATGATACACTCACATCGTCAACAAATAATGGGTTCTTCAAATAAACAATCACATGACGAATTAAAAAGAAAGAACAATTAGCATTAATTGAAACGTTTCACCTGACACATACCTTGGACAGTTCTGATTTGACCCTGTTAATAGTCTTTATATAACCTAAGGGAAAGTTAAATGCTTTCAATTCTGCGTCAGTAAGACTCATGAAATCTTCGCCTGTCACTTGCTGCGCTGTAGCAACAAAACATAAAATAAAATGGTTAGAGGGAAAATGATACTTTACAACAGTTTCAACCACAAGACTTCGAGGAATCTTATAAATTATCTAACCTTTGAGCATATTAACGACGTCCGGAGTAACCCTATAATTGTTTTCGAGCACACGAGCAAGTCCCTCCACATCCAACTTGTCCATGGCGACTTAGTTGTGGTGAGGTTAAGGTTAAACACGACCCGGCCGGCTACTCCAACCCATCGATTTCTACGTACGCAGGCGCACGAAGGCACGCAACGGCTCACCTGAAAACAGAAAGAATGGCAATAAAATATAATGAAAACCACACGCTTTGAAGGAAAAGTTACTTTACATCTACGCAAAGCCTATTTTTCGGGAAGTTAAGTATGCAGATCAAGAGTGAGGTTGTACGCCTACTGATATTTGCTAAACTACATAAAAGTTTTTTGAAACGTAAGAAAATTTGGGTTTCCGATACAAAGTAATGAGGTGCGACAACACTTCAAAGAACGTAAAACTTCACCACAATTTGTCAGAGAGCCAAATTCAAAGCATTTAGATCGAAGCAGCGCAGGCCAACGGTCGGAACTCAAACTCAAACCTCAAACTTAAGAAAACGAACTTTCGCAGCCGTAACTGGCTGACAACACCTACCAACCTTAACACTTATCCAAAGTATAATTGTATAAGAACTCCGTGTCTTATCAAGTTCTAGTAACTATGATTAATTATATGCGACCGAAAATAACTTAATAAGACAAGAAAGCAAGGAACAAACAAGAAAGAAAAAAGATGCTGAATAAATAACAGTACTGTTGTGTTCACGATAGGGAAGGCCAAAGGTAGCTGGTCCCTCAGGCCCACCCAGAAGCCCAAATGACCGCCTCGATCCCTCGATCTTACTAGCAGCAGCAGAGGGAATGCCCCACCCCCTCCCCTAGCCTCCCCTCTAGTGTTTCGCTTCGCGGACTCGACGATGACGGGTGACATGTAGTCCATGGCAGTTGTCACCGTCGTCGTCCATGCGTTCACGCGGGCGAGCACTCGACCCAGTGAGATGTGCAAGTCGAAACGTTGTCGTTTCGACTTGTCATTTCTCACTGGGCGACATGAAGGGCAAATAACCAAATTGTGCAGGGCGGGCGGGCGGCACGGAGTTGTACTGCGCGTGGGGTAGTGCGGCTGCAGCGAGCGGATCTGAGCGTAGAGCACCGGCGGCGCCCGGCCCCCAGCCGTGCCCCGTGCCCGCAGTGCCCTGCCCTGCTTGCCCGTTCAACGATTTAAGTTAACGTTTATTTTGCGTGTCCCCTCGTCCTCGTCCCTTGTGCGTCAGGTCAAGACGTTGCTGTGCAGCTGTCTGGCCTTTCCCCGAGCCATCGGCCCTCGCAGCCACGCTTCGCGTGGCCACACAGCCACGCTTCCCGTGGCCTCCGGCCACGCCTCTCGTGGCCCCCGGCCGCCAGTGGCCCGTGGCCCACACGGATTTTTGCCGTTCCCCGCCCGGCGCCAGTCCGGGCCTGACGAGGTGCTGTGGGGTCTGGCAGGCCGCGCCCATTGGCTGAGGGGGGAGGGGCTGGCACGGGTGCTGCCGATGTTCGTCTTCAGGCACGGGGCCAGGTGCAGCAACTACTCTCAGCACGCCCAGGACCCCCC